AAAAATAAATCAATCTTAGAAAAATAAAATCAAACTCACATTTTGTTCATCTTTAAGAATTCAGCTTGTGTAGTATTTAGGTATTTTTGTCTCTTTTGACAATTTTAGTGTTCAGAGTCAAACGCCTAATACCAAAATACTGATACTTGTATAAATTACATATTTGCAAATAATAATGGAACACACAAGGAGATCACATTAGGATAATTTATTTAATTTGTTTAGACAACAAATAATTAAGCTCTCTCTTGGAAATGCATTTATGAAAATAATAAATAAAATTTGATAATTAAATTTACCCATACATTTGTTCTGTTATACGCATTTACATATTAATTGAATCCTTGGCCAAATATGTAATCAAATTGAGGACTTAAATAATATCAACATTTACATTCTTTTTGTAGACTCTTAGAGTGTATAATTCCTTAAGGGGAAAAAAAAAACCTAAAACTACTTGGCCTTCCAGCCCTGATTAATCATGCAGGGCTGCATGAACAACCCAAAGCAAGACTCAGAAGCTTTTCTTTAGATGCTAAGAATGTTATATGTTTGATGATGTACGTAAAAGGGGCTGAGAGCAAGCACTTGTCACAGCCAAAGCCAAGAGCCTATGGCCCTGGGGAAAGCACTCCACAGCGAAGGATATCAGATGTTGACAGCCAGGGGTAAGAGCGAGAACTTCAGCCTCTTCATGTTCTCTTCCTCCTGCTGGACCAGGCACCAATCCAGGAGTTGCGTGCGTAGACCCCAGAATGCAGCAGCTGGTGAGCCATATTAGCAGACAAGGCCTCGGGGCTAGCCCTGCTCCCGAGCTCTGCTCCACAACTGCTGTTCACTTAAATAGCTGGATCTGAGCGAAGGGAGATGAGGTGTCGTCGTTAGAGCTTGCTATGTACAACTGTTTCACTATAGATTGCCTGCTAGAGGCAGACATGATGATAGCTTCCAAGGCTGCCACATTGGACCAGGAAGGATGCTGATGTTCAATGAAACAGAAGACAGAGGAATGGTGATATACACAACTTTGAACACCAACAGCAAGCCTCCGATGTTCTATGTTATTCTGGAATGCAATCTCAGCACCATTAATCACTCTACAGCTAACACTCTTACAAGGGATTTCTGGAATTAGAGGTAATCCAGCTATGCCAAAATTATGTTTTAGAATTATAGTCTTACATGGGCAACATAGTCCTGTGTTTTTCTTTCCATTTTCAAAGAAAATCAAAGTATGCGCACATTTTGAAGTGTGTGTCAAATTTTGTACTTGATGTTGCCCACTTGAACACTGTCTTCAACCGGGAACTTTTCTGGCGTAGGAGAAAAAAAATGTGCCATGCATGTCCATCACAGAGCAGGGCATCAGGCAAAATGAACGCATGGTATCTACTTTGCTTTCATGATTGATCATAATGGAGCTTCAGATTTCCCTTAATTGGAAAAGGGTTTGAAATAATGTGCAAATAATTCATCATTATAGTCTTCCTCCATTATTTTAATTGGCATTTTTACTCCCATACGTATGGAAAATATTACTGTACAACAGCAGCTAGGAAAATTTAAAGAAACAGATCAGATTTGGAAAAGAATGAAATCCAGCCCATTCTCAGATCCAGTGTATTTCCCAAATGATGAGATAAATAGGAAGGTAGAAAGCCAATATAGTACTTTTAGCTGAGAAAAAAAAATAAAGTGTTCTAAAAGAAAAGAGAGAATGAAACCCTCAAGAGATGAGGAGGCGCTGTGCCATGTCAACAGCCAATGTCGTTAGTGCCAGCTGCACCTGACCAAAACATCTCTTCACTGCAGTTCAGGAAATGTGACGAATACCTACTATGTGACAAGATTTTTACTGGACTATTCACAGTGTTGAAGAAAATAGATTCTTTAGTCTATAACCAAGTAGGGTATATCAGTTAAAATTACATCTAACTGCATGCCAAAGATAGCCCTGGTGAAGAAAGTTTAGCAGAGATGATCACATTGAAGACCCTCATGCTAGGATGTTACACGGATCTCCCAGACATCCCAGAGTACTGTGTATGGACTCCAGTGTTTTCTCCAGCTCTAATCATCAGCCAACATTTTTACAAGTAGGAGAAAAAGAGAACATGGAGAATTTTTCACTATTAATGAGATTGCAGTATGAACTTAAAAGACTGAGGTGCAAGCATGAGATTACACACTCATGGATATGTACTGGGGAGACACCAAACTGCTTCAGAAAAAGTGAGCAACAGCTTCCAGAGTCAATGGTCCTGCAGACCTTGTCTGGACAGGATTAATCCCCTAACAGCTCACCATGCCTCAGCTGGGTTGACATCTGAACACCAGTTGCCACCTGCTTCTCATAATCCATGACATTTACAGTCTCTCTCTCTCTCTCTCTCTCTCTCTCTCTCTCTCTCTCTTTCTCTCTCTCTGATTTTTCATGGCACACTCTAAAAATGGCAGACCATCTGTAAAAGTGATGTTTCTCCTATAACTGATTAGTCGGGTTCCTTCATGAATTGTGAGAATTACCTTTAGCAGAGTTGAGCAATAGTTTGTGGTTTTGAAAAAACAAAAATATTGGTTTGGACTAACAAAGTTGGAAAACATATGAGATGAACAAAGCTAAGCTTCATGACCAAGAAGCCAAAGGGCAGCTGCTCAAGGCTGGAAGTGGGGCCTGCTCAGGAGCTGGGTAACAGTCAGCAGCGTGAAGTGACCCAATGAGAGGCATGCCAGGAAACAAGAACACAGGCCAGACCTGCATGGCCTTATTCTAGGTTCGTCTGGATCTAACCAGTGTTGTGAAATGGCTGTTCACACTCATGGAAAGTAGTTTTGCTGCCATACATAGGAAACAAAAACAAAGGCCAGGGCCGGGTTCCTTAGCCTGCCCTCCTGCGTTTTTCCAGGTCCTAATTACATTTCAGACAGATAATAACTAACATCTCGTCTATGTGGAATATTTTTGTCATGCAACAACAGATAGCATTAATTAGATTTTTCGGTTCCATGTGTATTTTAAGCTGTCAAGTCCTTCTTTGCCCATTTGTCCATCTAGACTTGTTTCCTTGTCATGAGCACTTTTTAACAAGCCTTCTAACAGGGAACTAAACAAGCCACAGCAATCAATACCAGGACCTCTTGCCTTAGGTTTGGAGCTGCTAGAGAAACGTTCATTGAAATCCACCATACTCCTCTTAACACAATACGTTTGACCTCCAGATAATGTTCAGTGCTTTATCCCCTAATATGTTTAATTTTAATCCTGCTGAGACAAAAGTCATTGCGTGAATTACAAGAATGAGTCTCGTTAAGGCTGAAAAGCAGTGACCCAGATAACGTAATGTATTAATATGGAAACCTTGCCGTTTTAGAGCCTTGCTTTCGAATCTGTCTGTGTGATCAAGTCACTGCAGTGGTCCATCAGTTGGCTAACACCTGTCCATAGGAGTCTGATAACAGTAGTTAGGAGAGCGTTCTGACTCTTCATTAAAAGATTAGACTGAACCAGGGCAGCTGCAGGGAGAGAGGGTCTTGTAGACATGACATGGATATTGCACCCCTGAAATCTCAACAATATGGTTGACTAAGCGGGGCATGAATGCTGGTCTCAGCAGTGAACGTGCCAATAAAAAGGAAGGAAACTCCACAACCCCCAGACCTAGATAAAGAGTTGTGGGTAGCTAATGGCTGTTGAGAGAAGACGGATCAGTTTTCTCAAGAGACGACCTCACTGATAGGTTATCTAATCCCCACTGGCCAGCACTAACCATACAAAAGCAACATGAAATGGACTAAGCAGGTTTTATGAACATGCACATTTATATATGTGTGTGTTATATATAATAAATACAGAGTGGGGGATGGGAAGAGCTGGGAGAAGGAGGGGTAGAAATGACGTAAGGACAGTGTACTTATTATGAAACTCTCAAAAAAATCAATGGGATTTGTGTAATAAAAATGGCATACAAAAACATATACAGATACAAATACCATCAAAATTCTAACATATTCTTTACAGATCTTGGAAGGACATTTTTCTGTTTCACATGGAAAGACAGAAATTCTATAATAGCAAAAGCAATCTGGAATCATCAATGAACTGCTGGAGAGATCATGAGTTCTCACCCAGGTTTAGTTTACCTCAGTCAGGATGGGTTTTTTTTCTAGTTCCATTTATTTACTGGAAAATTCATTTCAAGATGCATAAAGAGAGATGAGAATTATAAAATATTTTTACATGTCATGTCTACTGTCAAGCTATTTCATGCCTGGCTTGGGGATACTTCACCATGATCACAGCAAATAAAAATAAATCAGAGTTAAAATAAAAAAAAAATCTAAACTGAGAAAATTTGTTCTTATTGTCTTCTAAAACTTCCTTAAATGATCAGAATTAAAACGCAGGGTTTAATGGATGCTAAAATCACTAATGATTTTGTAATTTGAATGACACTCTAACAAGCACCAGAATGTTGACATTTTCATCACATAAATATATATAGTTACAATGTGTAAATATAAATTAGTAGGGTGTCTACTTGTCAAAACAAAAATATAATTACACTAAGTTGGTCCTGATAGACATAACATGGTGTTCACCAAGTTACCAAAGTCTGGTTTGGGCTGCTTAGTTGTGGGAATGAGATTAAAATTCAGACTTTGTTCATGCCACTCACTTCTGTTACCACTGAGCTGTACCCAAGCTTTATTTTTTTGGTATTCTTTGGAGTAAAGTATATATAAGAATTATTATACTGCAGAGAAAATTAATGTGGATGCAACTTAGTAGGACATCTTACCGTCTGCCGGTTACAGAAAAAAAAGTTAGCTGGGCATAATAGCCTGCATAGCACTCAAGAGGCTGAAGAAGGAAGATCATGAATTCCAAGGCAGCCTGGGCTTATGTAGTGCGATCCCTCGTCAAAACTTAAAAACTAAAATAAAAGAACCTTTCAAGAAGCATGTTTCTGAAAGTGTGTCTATCTCTTCATTTATTTTAGATGCAAGATATTGCGAGCCCCGAAGGAGCTCCGTACGGCTCCCATCCTCAGATTGCAGCCATGAGGCCGAGAGGCCAGCCGACAGACATCAGACAGCAGGCAAACATGATGCAGCACGGCCAGCTGACCACCATCAACCAGTCCCAGCTGAGCGCACAGTTGGGTTTGAACATGGGAGGAAGCAACGTTCCCCACAACTCCCCTTCTCCCCCTGGGAGCAAGTCTGCAACCCCTTCGCCTTCTAGCTCCGTGCATGAAGACGAGGGCGAAGACACCTCCAAGGTATGATCTGTGTTTGATACTGTCGTTGCACTGTGAGGAGGGCATGCTTATATCCTCCCGGTGAGAAACATCGGTGGGAAGCATATACTTGGTTAATGACGCATGAGGTTACAAACTAAATTCAACCACACGCTTACCCATGACACTTCTAAGTTCCTTATATGTCCTTTCAATGTATTTACATATAACACAAAGGTTGTGTTTGCTCTTAAAATGTATGGTCTGCATAGTGAATAAGGCTAAAAAAATTCTGTTGCGCTTGACTTCTGCCGTCGAGCCTACCTTACTGCATGCCAGTCCCTGTAGGACCATTTGTCTTCCTCAAACTCCTGAGATGCTGTATAGCTGAGGAGGACCTTGAAATTCTGATGGCCCTGTTTGCACCTCCTGAGTGCTGGGATTAAAAGGGAGCACCACTGTGGAATGCTGGAGATCCAGTTTATGCCAGGAAAGAACCCTACTGAGCTGAGCTTCAGCCACATTGTGCTGTGAGAATCTAACGTCCTGCAGTTCCTGCAGGGAATGTGAGTGAGGGTCAGAGTGTGTGCTGGAATGTCCTTAGATGGCAACCTCAGATCGTCTGACCCGCTCTTCCGCACTAGTGATGGGCAGGGTAAAAGATGACTTTGCAGGACAGAGACCTGGGTGCTAATGTTTTGCGGCTCCTTAAGGTTTTATCACTAGATGCCTTTCTTTGAATCATTGAGGGGGAGGATTGCTTTTTTAATGCCCTTGCAGGGGAAATTTGGCTGAGTTCCCCTTTAAATTCCTTTGAAGTTGTTTAAGGAATTGTTCCTTTAAAATATAATACTTTAAAAGGAGAAAAGAAAAATAAATGACTTCACCAAAACCCTGTATGCTTTTTTTTTTGCCTGAAAACACCAAACGCTTGCTTTCCCTTCCCTGATTACCAATGAAGCACTGCCCAGATTTAGCCCAGTGAGAAGGCTGTGTGTCTACCGGATGTGAAAATGCCCGCCAGTACACAAGTACTTTCTATTTGCCCTCTTTTTTAAATATTTATTTTAATTTTGATTATGCATTGGCAGTGGGCGGCCGATGTGCAGGAGAGTTCAGGTACCCAGGAGGCCAGGGGCTTTGGCTCTCACAGGGGCTGTTGCTACAGGCACTTGTGAGCTGCCTTCAGTGCCAAAAACCGAACTTGGTTCTCTGTAAGAGCAGTACAGGCTCTTACCTCCTGCTCCTCCTCTCAAGACTCCTCTTTTATTTGTTTAAGAAATTTCCTAATAGTCAGGTGCGTCCGCTGCTCTGCTTTCTTCTCGCCTTCGTGAGAATTTGGGGAGGAGTTAAACTGCCAACACACTGATAGGCCATGCTACAGGATCTGATTATGCAATTGATTGCCAATGTTTACACTAAACTCTTAATAGTCCAGAGGATTGTAATCTATAGGTTAATTCAATTTACTGACAGCATTGAAGGTACACTGACAATATTTTCTTACTTCTGAACTCTTGATGCGCTAGTATTTGGGAGTTCTTAATCTCGAAACAATGATACAGTTGGACCCCAAAAATGACTCCACTCTGAGGCCCCTGTGATATACAAACCAGCCAAACCAGAGCTCTCACACACCATCCAGTATTTCCCTGCCTCATACCAGGGCCAGGGCCAGCCAACAAAGACCAAACCAGAAAAACCCAGAATCTGTACCAAGCCTTTCCCCTGTTCTCTCAGCATATCCACAGAGCCTGGTAACTCCTAGCCACAAAACTGCAAGGCATGTGCTGTGTCCTGTGTTACCCCAGTCCTCTCTGTCCCTCAGGGACTCGGATCCCTCCCCAGGTGGCCATGTGCTCAGCTGTGACTCCTGTTGTTCAGATCTGTGATTGTAAACTTCTCCCTTCCTGGCAGTCATTCCCATGTTTTGCTGACTTCCCAAAGAAAATAAAATCAGATCTCAGGTACAAATCTCAGTGTGTCTGCACACATGTCTGCTTGTCCTACCCTCGTAGTCAGGCCTGCGGTGAGGTCATGTGCATGGACAGCGGTAACTACTAATAGAAGTCTAATTAATCATACCATAACTGGGCTCATGAGCGCCTGGACATGAGCTATCTAGATAGCAAAGACAGTTTTCCTAAGAAAATGTCCATTATTCTAATAGTACCCAACAACCAGTAAGCCTGGATCCAAATACGAACACCAGCTGTATGCTTGTGGCCAGAGAGCCGTGGGCTCTAGACCGTCACCTAGACAGAAATGATATGTGTTGTGTTTTACCGGGAGATCGATGTTCAGCTCACAGTAACGATCAATTTTTACATCAGGATTATGTCTTTATCAGACTTCCTTCCTGACAATTGAAAATATCAATGCAAAACTTGTAGTAGCGTCTGCTACCAATAAAATGTATACAGGACTTATCTTAATTACAGCAACATTCTATGCGCTCTGCAGCTTACATGGTGGCTCAGTAGACAGGAAGCTAAAAGTCTTAGAAGTACTTTCTGCCGTTTATTGTTAACCCTTTAGGAGCACAGCTTGTCACTGTCCCAACGCATGAGTTTGTACATTATAAACCTCCATACTGGTGTGAAATTTTACTGGTGAGTTTCCTATCCAGTCACCTGATATCCACATCTCAAAAACCTGTATACATCTCTAAGTGGCGGCAAGCCTGTATGGTTCTTAGCAGCGACTCTTGGGCTACTAGTGTGGCAGCAGGGGAGAGGGCTTGAAGAGATGGATTTCTCAACAACATTCCTTTAAAAAAAAAATGGATTTTTTTCTTTTACACGTCTCAAGAAAATTCAGCTGCTATTACAATTCTGTATGCCGTTGCTCACTGTGGATTCAGAATTCCTCTCCCATTTATTCAACTTACATGTGCTAAACTGCTAGAAAAATCCTCTGCTGAAAGTGCCTAGGCATTTTTAATGACAGTTAAGAGTTAAACAGCACTTTTTTCCTTTATATGTGTGTGTGTAGGATTTGTGTGCAATGCTGTATGTTACAACAACTCTAGTTAAAAAGTGAAATAGCACTAAGCAAAACGATCATTGAAATCATTTCTAACAAGTGAACCAAACAGGAATATTGAGTTCCTCCCCAGAGAAAAGCATCTTAGCACACCAGGCTGTCTTTATGCAATTACATATTGATTCCAGTTTATCTAATTGAACAATTAAATGGAATACCTCTGTTTTGGCAGAAAAAATGTATTGTAAATACACCGGTAGAATTAATTATCACCTTACAAACACCACCCATGGCTTTGAGAGCTCTGGAGTGGAGTTGACATCTGAGTTACAAATGAAGCCTGCAGAGAAATAGTGAAGACATAGAAACTCAGGCTGTGGCTCCAAGTCTGTAACCCTGTTTTTGTGAGTTAGCAGACTCTTCAAGACGTTTAGAATAACTGGCATTGCATGTGTATTTGAATGTAGTTGTTCCTTTAATTATCCATTAAGGATCACAGTAGATATTTTCCTTCCTTTTGCTTTCACTTTTCCATTGAAAACATCCTTTATGTTTATGTATCTCATAATGATGTATAGTTGGGTGATCTTTGGCTCTACAATGGAGCCCTTACAGCCCTGACACAGACATCTGCGTCTCCTCAGTGTATTGCTTTCTATTTGCAAAGACGTTTTAAATTACTTGTTCTATCTTCTTTAAAATTTTTATTTTGCTCATCCAATTTTTCTGATTATAAGACTGGAAACTTGGTGTTCTTTTTTCTTTGTTTTTATTAGCTCTTTGAGAGTTTCCTGTAACATGTTTTGGTGATGTTCATGTCTCCAAGCCATCTCTAAACCACTCCCCCTTCCATCTCCACCAACTTTGTGTCCTTTTTCTTAATCCCTTCAAGACCAATTGTGCTCCCAAAATATCCTTGGTTGTGTGGTCTTCCAATGGATTGTGGTGGACTTTCGTCTGTATCTATGCTCTTAGAGAAAACCAGTTTTCTCTTTCCCAGCAGTCAACAAGTGCTAAAGCTCCATGGTTAAGAGCCAGGTGTATGCCAATTCCTCTTTCCACACTGGGGCATGGGCTAGCACAGGTTTTGTATAAGAAAGTTGTAAATTATTTTATGTCTTTACATTGCTATTTAGGTAACTTTTAAGTCTAAATACTTTCCTTCTGATTTATATGTTTATAGTTTTTGTTAATGTTCATCTTAATTATATTTTTAAGTCCTTTCACATAAAAAAATTTATAAAATCCCATGTACATTGTTCTAGGTAATTCTTTTTCTTCCAATTTTATGTATATGTACCATTTACATCTAGCATTACTTTGTCTTAGCTTTAAGGTGTTCTTCCGGCATCAGTCTTATTGGAACATGCCTACCATAAAGAACCTTTCTGCTGGATATGTTTCTAGGTTGACAGTTACTGCCTTTCAGCTTTTGGAGGCTGTCATGTTATTCTTTTGAGACCAGATTTCTGTTGTTGCTTTTGAGAACTACTTTCTCCATCTTTCCTTGAAAGTACCCTGACTGTCCTCTCTGATTGGTTTGAAAATATCTTACTTTTGATGTTCTTCAGCACCAAGGTGATGTATGTGGGCTTCTTCACATCTATCTTGAATTTAATTATCTCTGTACTACATCATTTCAGAAATATTTCAACCACTTTTTTTTCAGATGGTACCTCTGCTCCCTTCTCATTTTGTAATTCTGAGAAGGATTTAATGCTAGGCTTCCTATCTTATCCTCCACACCCCCAACCTCCTGTGTGCAACTTTGTTACCTGCTAGACTAGATTAATTTATTTATATTTATATCTTAGTTGGCAATTACTTTTTTCATCTATATCTAATCTGAAATTGGAAATGGCAATTTCAAGTATATTAAAAATATATTTTATTTTTTCTAGACATTTTCTTAGTTATTTAATATTTTCTCATATATTTAGTCCCTTTTATTCATAAATTTGTTGCACACCCTCTGTCTTCATTACGTTTGATTGCTGTGACAAGACACCATGTCTAAGGCAGTAAATAAAGAGAGAGAGAATCTATGGCCATCATGT